CCTGTGTCTGAACGGCAAACATTTTCCAGATGTTTTTCCACTTATACAGGGCAAGGAACAGGGCCCAAATTATTTTTCTTTTAATCAGAATGCTATAATCCCACATCAAATAAATTTATTTTACCAGAACAAAGCATTGTGTTTGTATGAACATAAAAAGAACACTGAGAAAAACATTTACTATCCTCACAAGTGCTGAAAATCTCATGTATTTCTGAACCAATCTCATTTGTCATAAAGTGTGACAGGAAATAGCCCTTAAGAAATGGAAAACATCTAGTCAGTATCATACAATTCCCATTTCTGAAACTGCAGTATGACAAAGCAAAAGAAAAAAACCCAGAATCTTAATATCCTCAAAGGAAACTCACATTTCTGAAACCTCTAATGCACTAGTTCTATATGTTTTGACAAACAGCTTCAAACTACACACAGAAAGGAAAGCTTGTAGTGAATATTAGCAAAGTAGACAAGGACAGAGTTCATATGCAACCATTGGTGGGCAGAATGTCACATAGTGACCCCACACCAGCCTAGTGCATCATTTAGGAAAACTTTATCCAAGTCAGATTGACTGAGAGATTTAACAAAAACACATAAAAAGATTCTATAATCCAATAGCTCACATAAGCCAAGTTTTAGATTTAGTTTGCCAGGTGAAGACTAAAAGTACAATGAGATCACATTTTAAAGATCAAAAGTCATTTCACAGTCACCATAATAAAAATTGTCACAGGCAAAACAATCAGCAGTGGATGCTAAAACAAGTGGGAGAAAACATTATGAGAAAGAGAACATTTACACAGTCTCAGATTATCTCCTAACTCCCCAAAAGGCACTTATTTATTCCAAAGGAAGAAACAATCATGTCACAGTGGAGAAATCTGGAGACACTACCTGAAGTAGTTAATCAAAGTAACACCATCAGTAAAGGTACAAATAGACAGCATGAGTCTCTGAATAACTTACATTGAGAAACACACATTACTCCTGTGATTTTCCTGTCAAAAATGCATAACCTAAAATTAATCATTAGGAAACAGCAGACAAATCAAAATTCTAAGGGACATGCTACAAGGCAACCAGCCTCTTCCGAAATATTAAGGTCCTGAGAAACAAAGAAAGACTGAAGAACCATCTCAAATTAAAGAAAAGTAAAGAAACATGATGACAAAATGCAAAGTCATTGACCAGGAAAAAGAAGTTTCTTTTGCTATAAAGGGAATTAGTGACACAACTGGCAAATTTAAATAAAGTATGTCAAATTAGAAAACATGAAGGCAAATGTTATAAAATATTAGCATTTCCGGTATCTGAGTAAAACGTAAATAGGAACTCTTTTAACAATTTCCCAACTTTTTGAAAGTCTGAAATAATTTCAAAGTACAAAGGGTATTGTTTTTCTAAGTAAAATGTGTTCAACACAAAACTTCAGTTAGTAAAAACTTTTACTAACTCTACTAAAAGTAACATAGAACCTGTAGTAAAACAAACGCTTCTCTGTGAATTCCTCTTGTTTCAGATGGGGGTACTAATAAGCAGAAAAAGAAAAAGATGGACAGTTGTGCATGGATCACATGGAGTTCACATTTTAACCCTGAAGACTAGGCTTTGCCTTCCCTTTTATTCCTTTACTAAGGCAAAATCTGAGGAAACTGACTGACCTGGGGGATTCTGCTGGTCAGTCACTTGCTACTTGGAAGAGATCATATAATACACAACTCTGGGATCTTCCAAAAGGAAGACTGGACAAGCAATGGCAATAGGACACCAGCTTGTTGAGTCCTATGATCCTGAAGAGACCAGTGAAGAGACAAAAATCCATACCGTTTCTAAGAATAGTGCAGCCATACTCTACGACCCTGCTGGTTTTTCTTGTGTGCCTGTCTTAAGCTTTATTCAGAACTATCTCAGCCACCAGAGTAGCCAGCATCTGACAGCAACTGGTAACATATTTCCAGAATTGTTAAAGGGATCTAGAGACACTTGTTCAACATATGGCAGGACATGGACTACTTTATCACCACCAGTAATGCCTAAGTATCAGTTCTCTAGAAGGTTTTGTTCCTGATCCAAATGAAGTAGATATTCGGACCAGACTGCCACCAGCTTCTGCATCCCAAGGGACTGGTTACTGCTGCCTTGTGTGCCTTTCAGTTCCTGAAAGCTCCCTTAAATCTTGAGCCACTCCTCACTATACTCCAGCCTTAGAGTCTTGAAAGGTATCTAAGCATTGGAGTCTCTTCCGACCCCACAGGCACTGTCTGTCCCTCCCCACCATTCCCTGACGTTTTCATGGTCAACTCTCCAAAATTTGGAGATTAGATATACTACTGGTAGAATTTTGCTATGCTTTCAAGTATAATTACTTGAAAGTATACACTATACTTGAAAATAACTATACTTCCAAGCTGGCCAAGAAATGAAGCCACTATTTCTAAAAGCCTTCCTATGGAAATAAAAATTCCAAGTGCCAAAAGAGTCTACTTACTAACAAACAAAAGACATTATGTTTGTTGAATAGAATTTTAAAGATGATTTTCAGCACAGAGCTCATCAGAGGGAGGACTCCTACTTTATTCATATTGAAGAAGCCACTGTAATAACAATACTGAAACCCTACTGAGATTGTGGCACTATTCAACACACTTTATTAAAATGAGATATCTGAACATTTCTATTCTAAAATAGATTAATAAAATGCTGTGATACACAATGAAAGCTATACTCAATGAATCAAAATATGGCTGCCTTAGAGATGAAACAGAGCAATGGTCAAACTCCAAGCACAAGAACTTACAAGATGGGAAGGGGAGAATTCTATCTTATAAGAAAAAAATCAACATTAAAAATACTTTATTATCTAGCAATTTCACTTCTGGGTGCATACCCAAAAGAACCGAAAGCAGGCATTCAAACAGATATTTGTACACCAATATTCGTAACAGCATTACTCATAATGGTCAAAGGTAGAAGTAACTCAAGTGTCCACTAAAAGATGAATACATAAACAAAATGCAATACAAACCCAGAATGTAACAAGGACATACAAAAGATTATTATTCAGCCTTGCAAAGGAAAGCAATTCTGACATGCTGCAATGTGGAGTAAATTTGAGGACACTGTAAGTGAAATATGCACAAATGCACAAATATTAAATAATTCCACTTACAGGAGATACCCTTAGCATTCAAATTCATGGAGACAGAATAGTAGCTGTCAAAGGCTGGGTGGAGGTGAGAATGGGTACAGAGTTTAATGGGTACAGAGTTTCAGGTCTGCAAGACAAAAAGTTTTGGAGAAGGAGGGTGGTGATGGTCGCACAATGTGAATGTACTTAAATGCAACTGAACTGCAAAGTTAAAAACAATTAAGATGGTAAATTTTATGTTATGTAAATTTTACAATTAAAAAATACCTTATATAAAATGTCAGCTTATTTTCTGAAAGGCCATATAAGTCCCATTTATGTTAATTCTTGCCTATTTCCCTAACTGAAGTCCATGGCTTTATAATTTCCTTTATATTAGTCATTAATATATATTTTCTCTCTCTCTTTCTCTCTCTCTCTCTCTCTCTCTCTCACACACACACACACACACTACACAGAAGTATTTAATGTAACAAATGCTTTAAAAGGTTTAAAGAAAAAGAAATAATCTCTGAATCCCCTTTCTGAACTTGTTTTTTCCCTAGGCCAAAATAAAAAATTCGCAACATACCTAAGGCCTGCAGCCAAAAAGAAAACGACAAAACGAAAAATGCAAAAATCACAACAAACATCCATCCACAGTAGATATTTTTACATAAGATCTAATATTAAAAGAGTACAACAGTATTTCCATAGAATAATTTGCTGAAATCACAAATTTATCTCTGGTCTCAGTTTAGGATAAAAAGTCCACATACAAGTCAGAATAGTGAGTGTGGCCAGTAATTTACCTAGATAACCCATGATGCTCTCTATGTAACTAAACACTATGTAGTAGTTAAAGTCTGAGGTGAAGGAGGGAAGGACCAAGGCACTAAAAAAGGCTATGGTAGAGATTTTTTCCTAGGAAGGAAAAAAAGGAATTATAAAACACCACCACCAACAAAACACATGCCAATTTAAACTCTTTAATCTATACTGACATTAATTCTCAACTAGGGGAATTTGCCCACACCCACCTCCAGGAGTGTAAGTCAGAATCTTCTTGTGGCCTTCTGTACTTGGAAAAAGAATATCCAATGTATCTATTAGTTTTATACTATAGAAAACAAAATGACCAAAATTCTTTAGGGCTGAGGGGAATGTGCTGAGCGAACAGTAAGAAAGTGTTGGCCGGGCGCGGTGGCTGAAGCCTGTAATCCCAGCACTTTGGGAGGCCGAGGCGGGTGGATCACGAGGTCAAGAGATCGAGACCATCCTGGTCAGCACGGTGAAACCCCGTCTCTACTAAAAATACAAAAAATTAGCTGGGCATGGTGGCGCGTGCCTGTAATCCCAGCTACTCAGGAGGCTGAGGCAGGAGAATTGCCTGAACCCAGGAGGCGGAGGTTGCGGTGAGCCGAGATCGCGCCATTGCACTCCAGCCTGGGTAACATGAGTGAAACTCCGTCTCAAAAAAAAAAAGAAAGTGTTTTACCAAGGGTTAAGAAAATGTTGAGGGGTGTGACCTTCGAATATACAGTTGCCCTCAGAGTTCAAATGAGTTAAAGATGCAAATGGAAAAGCAAGCTAGCCTTTTAATCATACCTGTGATCTAGGTAAAATCTAAGGTTCAATATCAATCATGGATTATTTCTAGCAAGAGTTTTAGACTAGAATAATTTTAAAACATTAAAGACAAAATAAAACCTAGCATTTCAAAATAAATGACAGAATGAGAGAGAAAAAAATGGACAAAAAGGAAAACCATAGATGAAATATTTTAATCCTCATTAATGATCATAAAAAGAATATACATTCATTTTAGACAATTTGAAAATACAGAAAATGTGTACCCAATTTGACTCACCTCTCGAGTAGCTAGGTGGTTGCTAAGTTCCTCAGCCTTCTCAATATTCCACTCATCCACAGCCTGGTCTATCCTCTTTTCAAGGCCTGACTAAAAAGAAAAGAAACCTAAAAATTAAGGGCAGGAAGGAAAGGCAAACATTTGCTAGCCAATACTATACCACAGGACTACACTGAATGTGTTACATATGTAAACCATTTAATTCTCACAATAACACCAGAAGGTAGCTGTTACCATTCCCATTGGTACCAGAAGGCTGAGACAATAAATGGCTTACCTGAGGTCATATAACTTCTTGGACTAATAAAAATAAGTGGCAAATACAGATTTTTGTGAATCTAAAGCCTACATTTTCCCTTAATAACAACAATAATGTTAATAATAACAATAGGTAAAAATTACAGAGTGTTTATTACGTGGCAGATTCTGGGCTTAGTACTGTAAGAAAGCTCATTTAGGCCAGGTGCGGTGGCTCATGCTTGCAATCCCAGCCCTTTGGGAGGCCAAGGCAGGCGGATCATGAGGTCAGGAGATCGAGACCATCCTGGCCAACACGGTGAAACCCCATATCTACTAAAAATACAAAAATTAGCTGGGTGTGGTGGTATGCAGCTGTAATCCCAGCTACTTGGGAGGCTGAGGCAGAAGAATTGTTTGAACCCAGAAGGCAGACATCAGTGAGCCAAGATCACGCCACTGCACTCCAGCCTGGCAATAGAACAAAACTCCATCTCAAAAAGCAAAAAAGAAAAGAAAAGAAAAGAAAAAAAGCTTATTTAATTCTTATAACAATTCCATGAATAATAATGCTATCCTGTTTTAAAGATGAGGAAATAGAGCCTGAGACTCCTGAACTTGGCCAAAGCCAGAGTCCGTAAGTGGTAAAGCCATCACATGAATTCAGGTTTGCTCAGAGCCTACATTCTCAACCAAAAGTTTCTTCTGTCTCTTTCCTTATTGCCCATTCCTATAGCTCAAGATTTTCAATCAATAGCCCTCCATAGTGTTTGACTATGACCATTAGGCTGAATATTAAACAGCAGAGGAAAATTACACATAAGAATGATTTTATTTTCTTACGAATATGTTTTTATTTACTAAAGATACTTCAGGAAATCTTAATTTTCCTAAGATTACTAAACAGACTAGGATAGAATGCATCACACATTTATAAAAAGATGCTTGGACTTAAATAACCGGAGCTCTGGTTTGTGAAAATAAGTTACTTTAGATAATAAAAAACTTAAAATATGGTCTAATATATGCTTCTTAGAAGCAAATTTTATCCCAACAATGGCTTATCTAGTAGATACTTTAACCTCCACATTCACAGTTAATACTCTACCTCTTACAGACTTCTTCCTTATTTAATAACGGAATGTCTCCTCCATCAGCATATTGCTTGATTATGCCAGTCAACTGAGAGAAATTTTGTTCCTGTATAGACTTTGCTGAGATATAAAAAATAAGCACAACATAATTTGCCTAAAAAGATTACAGAAACAAAGACCAGTGAGGTTGTCACTGATGTCTGTTGCTAAGAGAAGACTATTCCTTCTCACAGTCCCCACCTAAGCAGTCCATACCTGCAAGGCCAACAGGCTTTTCTGCTTGCTTTCCTGTGTAGCTGGAGCCCATTCAACAGCACTTCATGGTCTTTGACCTGAGACCATATGGATTTAATGCCCACCTCCCATTCTTGTCTTGTGATCATCTACCAGTCTCCAGAAACATCCCTTTCTTCCATTTCTGCAGAACTCTTCTCCTGATGGTCCAAATAACACCCTGAGACTTCTAACTTCACACACTTCACAAATCTATACTCTAGGCCAGTGCTGCTTCAGCCATGGCCTGTGTACCAGGTCGGGTCTGTGCGCAGTGCCAATCAATGAATTGTTTATTTTGGTCCATGTAAATATAAGCAGCTTGTGCCAGAATATAAATCAGCTTCACGACTAAACACAGTTTTGTAGTTGCTAGGCTTGCTGACACACACCTATAGTCCCAGAGCTACTAGGGAGGCTGAGACAAGAGGACCATTTGAGCCTAAGAGTCTGAGGCTGCAGTAGGCTCTAATCAATAAATGCAGTTTAACCTGGGTGACAGAGCAAGACCCCATCTATTAAAAACAACAACAAAACAGTTTTGTCTAGATGAGTTTTGCTGGGGGTAGTGGGGGACAAGAATTTCTCCATGAGGAAAGTAGTACACTGAGTTACATTCAGGCACACACTCCTTATCTCTCTGTACATCAGTATACTTTGGTAAGATTGCTGTATGTCATGTTACAGACATCACCTGCAAGTTCAACCAAAACTTTGTAATCTTGCATTCTACTCCCTGAATACAATCCTTCCACTCATCCTGTCTTTCTACCCAATCAATCTGCTTTGTCTTCACTGGAACCTCATTCCCTGGCACAGTGCTTCAGTCCCTTCCCGGATCCTCTTCTCCCTCCCTAACTTGCAACCCACGATTACCCTAAACTCTAAGCCAGTGGTTCTCAAAGCTTAAGTACTAGACTAGCAGTATCAACATTACCTGAAAACTTGTTAGAAATGCAAATTCTGTGAAAAATGCAGGGCTGGGGACCCAGCAATCCATATGATTCTAATGTATGCTAAAATATATGTCAACTGTGTCCTCATTCTTAAAACTACCCACTATCTCCTCTAGTTGTCCCTTAATCACAGTGTTCCTGAAGTTTCTGATTAGCATATTTTTCTTCTTACTTTTCACCCTCTCCAGTAATCTACTCTGTCCTGGAGCTTCAATTACTTTTTATGAGCTGATTTAGCTCTCTAAATAATTCAAAACATCTGACTTCTCCCCACACCAGTACCCACATCTCCGGCTACTTGCTAATCATCTTCATAGTGAAGGCCTCCAAAGGCAAGGTGTTCAATTTCATGATGTCTGTAACAAGCCCTTGCTGCCCTGCTTCTCCTCCTCCTTAGTCACCCTTGACAGAATCCTCAGTTATCTTCAATGCTTCTAACCCCTTGCTCCTATCTGAACTCTATTTTGGCAAAAAGTCTCTCATTTCTTCCTTCTGTGTTTCCTCAGGGGCATGTGATCCCTTATTTGGAATATTATAACCATCTCCAAACATGCCTTCTCTTTCTGAAACAGGTATCATGTCATCACCCAGCTTAAAGCACTTACTTCATATCTCCCTTTGAATAACATCCCACTCCCTTCATAGTGGGGTCCCTAAATGCTTTCTCAGCCCCATCTTCAGCAACACTATGCTTTTTCATCTGTGATCACATTTACCATTTTCTTTATTTTCCCTGTGCATCTGACATGCTTCTCTTTGAAAATTATTAATCATCCCTTTAGGCTCACATCAAATGTTACCTTCTGTATCTATGCAGAGTCCCTCAGCCCTACATACCTATGACCCTATCACCCTCCCCAAACCCCACACCAGGCTATCCACTCTGTGCTGTTGCTGTATCTGTCCCTTCATCACTTACTTGTCTGACACACTACAGTGAGTTGTGTATTCTCCTCTCTTGGGTCCTATACTCAGTGGGAGCAGACTGTGCGTCACTGGCTTGGTGTGTCCCAGGATCCAGTCCAGTTCCTTCTACATAGAAGACACTCTTTCATTCTTTGCTACTGAGTTGATATTCACATTGCAGTCATCCATGTTTGCATTCACACTGAAAGGACCCCTCAAACTGGGAACATTTACTATATACCAACTACTCTGAGAAGCTTCCAAGAGTATTCACAACAGCAATATTGAAGTAATAATGTCCCTATGGTTAAAACAGAGTTACATGTATTGTATTCATTTATATAAAAATCAATCCTGGTACTAGAGTATATATTCCTCAAGGGCATGGAGAGTATCTTCTCCATCTTGGGCTCCCAGAGCTTAATCTAGTACCTGCGACTACAGCTTTATTATTTAATTTATATTGAAAATAGTTATTTTCTTTAAAAAATGTAAATACAATAGCCTGACTTTCCTGTGCAGAATATTAGGCATTGCCTCAAATGCCACTGACACATATTTGTATGTGCCAAAATGTATTTATACAAAACATTAATATCAAACTACAATTTTCCTTGCACTACAAATTCTTGCACAGCCTGATACCTCAACTCAGACCTTAGCCAATCTCATGCAAGGAAGCAGTCAACCTAGACCTGCTCCAACCTTTCATCTCAGCAACCTGGTCAGTAACAGCATCCACTCCTGTCCATTCCCCCAGCCATTCAGAACAGCATCTAAAGGTGATAGCATATCACAGTAGAAAGAGCACAGGACTAGAAGACAGGAAATGTAATCAAAGCTCTGGGTAAATGACATACTTGACTCATAGCCTCATTTTCCTCAAAGCTAATAGAAGACTGGCTTGAATGAGTAACCCCTCTAGAAACAAAAATCCTAGGTTTCTATCACATTTTCAACTTTGTCTTTAGCCCTTTTCTCTCTTCCTGGCAATTTATTGAAATAGAATGCAACAGCTTCTTTTAGCTCTAAAACACTCCTGGTTCCATGTACACTCAAGCTTTGTGTCCATAAAAACATATTAATACTCCAAATATACTCAAAACACTCAGTAAAACATTCCCATCTCCTTTAAGACTATAAGTTCCCAGCAGCTAACAAAGAGCACAGCTGGCAGGGTCAGACCCAGGATCAAAGACCAGCTCCTCTACTTATGAACTAAGCAACCCTGAGTGAATTTCTAAACTTCAGTGGGTTGCTGTTATCTCACATGTAATAAAATGGGAATAAAACCACATTCTCTGCAAGATTATGATGAGTCAAAGAAAATGTATATAAAATACCTAGCCACATTTTTAGAATATGGTAGTCACTCAATAAATAATAAGCTGCTCCTATTATTAAACCTAAATATCAGGATACCATTAGTGCAAAAGAGAAGGCTTATCTCTAGAAGGCTACAGACTTTATCATAGTTCTTCAAGAGCTCAGACCCAAGCACAAGAGCCAAGCATTCAACTTTGTCAGTAAGCAGTCTCATGAAATAGAGTCTGAGTATTAAGGCTTTTTGAAAAGTTTTAAGCTGGACTCAAGAGTAGCCTTTATTTGACTTTATCTAGGATGTCTTCCATACCATAGGAGTGGCAGGAGGCACAAAGGAGCTATTGACAGCCTGCAGTGCCTTGGTGTGCTTCTAAGTTGCCTTTTGGCTAGAATCAAAACATAATTTAAGATATATCTCAACACAGACGAACCTAGGAATGACAATTTGGCCACAGGTAAAAAATTCATCTAAAGGAAGTATCTAACCCATAAGGCAGCAATTGCCAATTATTAAAGTTTTACTATAGATGCCAAGAAGATAGGACTACAAATATCTAAGAAATGTATGGGTACTTGGTTTAACGTTATGGGCTAATGTCTATATGTGCATATGTAGAATAACTTTTATATGTGATTAAAGCTTTTAAAGTCAAACTATACCACAATATATTTCTATGAAAATTCTGCTACTAAATATTTATTTGAATAATATATTCATTTTTTAAAGCTTAATACAAATGAATTATCCACTAAAGTTTGTTTTACTGAACTTACATATCTAGAAAAAAATGAGGCAATCTCTTCATAAAGAAGGGCAGTATGTGCGGGGGAGAAGAGGTACCTTCATATATAAATGTAAATCATGTACTTATTTATTTATGATTTTGTTAACTTTATATATAAAAATCATACCCACTTAAAATCACTTGAGTCAGCTGGGCATCGTGGCTCATGCCTGTAATCCGAGCACTTTGGTAGGCCGAGGTGGGTGGATCATGAGGTCAGGAGCTTGAGACCAGCCTGGCCAATACCATAAAACCCCATCTCTACTAACAATACAAAAATTAGCCAGGCCTGGTAGCATGTACCTGTAGTCCCAGCTACTTGGGAGGCTGAGGCAGGAGAATCGTTTGAAGCCGGGAGCCAGGGGTAGCAGAGCTAAGACTGTACCAGTGCACTCCAGCCTGGGTGACAGAGCAAGACTGTCTCAAAAAAAAAAAAAAAAAAAAAAAAAAAAAAAAAAAAAAAAAAAAAAAAAAAAAAAAAAAAAAAAAAAAACCCGAAATCAAATGAGTCAGGTAAAAAAAATAAAACCAGGTTCAGAAAAATCTACATTTGGGACCAAATGACTTGGGTTTAAAGTCTCACTTCACTTCTCACCTGGTTTATTTTCTTAGGCAAATTATGCTGAGCATCAGTTTCTTTATCTGTATTATGAGAATAACACTGGACCTATCAATCCACCCCACAGGAATCACACAGGAAAGGAGAGGGAATGCTTTGTAACTGATACCAGGTGACAACACTCCCCATACCTCTCCCGCCACACCCCTAAACCTCCCTCTCCTATACCTCCTCCCTCCACATCCATATACCCTCCCTCCATCCAATCAAGGAAGCCAGCCTTTTAACTGGTCTATGTAGTGGAGAACCATGGAAGAGTCTGTTTGGAGAAAGCACTCTGCTAAAAAAAAAAAAAAAATTTTTTTCAAAAAAGCTACACTACACAAATACCAGTTTCCTCTCATAAACAACTTGAAAAATTCATCAAAGACACTGTACAATTACTCTAACATTTAATAACCACTGGTTTTTCATGCCAAAAAGTATCCATTAGGTATACATAAAATTACTTCAATAATGACTGCTGACTAATCAAACTGACCCAACTAAAGAATACTTGAGACATTTATAGTGAAATTAACGAGTGAAATTTATTCTAAAGAAATTCCCACAGATTCAGAATAATTATGTTATGATTACAGAATTACGAGTAAGTCCCAGGACTGCTGCCAGAAACACAATTATAGCTGTATTTAATACAAAGAACACTTTAAAACAGCTTTGGATATTAGGAAGATTATGTTTAAAAAATACAAGCCTCTGCATTGTCTGAGAGGCAGGTGACAGCAGTGCAGTAAACAGACATTCTTGGTTGAGCAACAGTTTCAGCTTGGCAGTGTTCCAAAAAACAAAAAAGAAAAGGGGAAAAAAAAGACTGCACGATAGACACAAGATTAAGAAGTTTGTTTTACCATTTTAGAGGGCTGAGTGAATACAAAATAAGAAAGTTCTCTCAGCTATTTTAACAGATCAGCTTCTGCTGCAGAGAAACAAAACAGTGGATGGAAATTCACGCTAGTTTTGTTCTAACTGCATCACAGATTTTCATGACCATCTCTAAATTTCATGAGCAGTTGCCACTATGTGCTGGACTTAAATTTAGTCCTAGTTTTTATCTCAGCATCTCCAATGTGGATATTTTTTCAAGTTTATTTACTCTGTTGGATTCACAGTAGAAACTTCAGCAGACAGCCAAAGGAGTGCCATGTAAACCAATGATCCCAAACCAAAGAATGAGAGGGAACCTGGGGGCATGCAATGATACCAAACTACCAAGAGAACATGAAAGAATCTGGCTGCACTAAGTCCTTCATTTCCTCTTGTGCTTGTGTTTATCTGTGAAATATTAAATGCGAGAAAAATCCTGGTCAGATAGAAGCCTAGCCAGCTAAGTCTCTTTGTTTAGAAAACTGCCATAACTTCCTTAGCCAGATGTCATTTATATGGATGAATAACCACCATTAGGAAAAACCAAACTTATAAAACAGATCAATGGGCAATTACAAAAGGACTTATAGCAGACTCCCTTAAACAGAGACCTCATTTTCAAAAGTGTTTGGGTTATGATATTCTTCTAGAACACATTTAATGCATAATGTGAAATAGAACACTGGTTCCTAAAATTGAGTTGTTTAATTTTGTGCAAAGAATCCTGGTAACCTTTATGAAAGTAACTTCATACAAATTCCAAATCCTAGACAATGAATAAGAGTAAGCCTGGTGTCTAGCAGGCATCAAGAAGGTACAATTTATATGTAGGATAATAAACTTTTAATAAAGATAGACTGTAAAAACAAATCTCTAAGTCTGTACTTTTTAGAGTAGCTAGGAAGTTCATTTCGTGGCTTTAATTTCACTAAGAAATAATTTAAACATTGTAATGCCAATATAGTTATGAGAAAACATAACAAATACTGTAAACAGGTGAAAATCAAAGACCATCTAATTCACAAGTAAAATTAAAAAAAAATATTTCCTAATAGAATCAATCTTTGACCATTCTTTCCATCAAAAGAACAATCCACCCAGCAGCTGGAACTCTATGACAGGTCTGCCAGAGATAACATACAAACCCGAGCTGCCAGCATGGTCCTCTTCCATAATGCCTTAGAACACATTTGGTACAGTCAAGAGCATCCCCCACCACATAGCCACTGCTCTCAGCTCATCGGCATCACAAGAGAATGGCAATTACACTTGCAAACGGTTAACACCCCTTCTGCATTGAGCCTAGGAAACTGAGACTGGTGTCATGAAACTTGCTTTCTAGTTTCAACTGTACCAGTGATTTTTCTTTGCAAGAAATTTAGCATTTCCGCACCTGCTTGAACACTTGTAAAAAGGAGATTGCTCAGCAGCAATAATTAGTTGAGGCAGAAAGAGTTTCCGGTTCCAATTCCCCAGCGTTCCAGGGACTGTTTTTGGATGATAAGAAACTTTGGCAAAGTTGGAATCAAAAAATTCACATGCAATATTCTGTTTTGCCCGTTCCTAAACGTGTGCACCCTCAATGACACAGTACCGTGCAATGATGGATTTAAAATCAGAGGTACTTTGGAAGAAACACTGATGGATCAGAAAATGACAAAGGTCTCTAGGTACACACAACAGTCTACAGCAATGATCCATGAAAGAGGCATCTGTCTACTACACACAGGATACAATATACTTGGGTTTCAACCAGCCCCTGTACCTCCAGCTCTACAACTGAGCACTTGATTTTTATGCTCCAACATTTCCCTGTGTGAATGTCAACATTTCCCTGAGTGAATATGTGAGTTACTCATTCATACCAGCCTTTACAACGTATTAGTATGTCTAGAAACTGACAACCCCAAATGTGCATCTCAAGGTCAGACTCTCCCCTGAATTCCTACCTCTTTATACTAACCATCTACTCTGCTCCTGCTTCCCAGTAACACTCAAGTCCCAAACTGAACTTTGGCTAGGACCCACTCTCAATCCTTTCCCCTCCCCAAATTTCTCTTTGTAACATCACTATTCACACCACTGCTTAAGCCAAAGCTTTGAACGGGTCTCTCTCCTTCCATATGACCCAAACCCTCCCTAGCACCTCTCAAGCAATCCAGAGGCAAATATCATCAATTTTACTTCTACAATATGCCTCAAATCCATCCATTTTCCTTCTTCAGCAGAATCGTTCTGGTTCAGTCCATCATCATCTTATGCCTAGAAGTCTCTTATCTATTCTGTTCCAATCTATTTTTGCTGTCTCACAATCAATTCACCAAGTAACAGCCACACGAATCTTTTTAACATAGATCATGTCATTCTCTTGACTTAAAAGCCTTTTTGACTCCCAATTGCATTGTGAATAAAACCCATTTCCTTACCATGCCCTTTGAGGTCCTACACAATTTGATCACTGCCTGCCTGCCTCTCTAATCGTATCATGGGCTACCCTCCTCCTTGCTGACCCCATTCCAGCCAAGCTGGCCTTCCTACACTTAGTGGAATGTCCTAGGACGACTCTTCCCTAGGATCTTTACTGATGCCTCTGTGCTAGCATTCTTTATGTAGACAGTTTTTTCCATCCTTCAGGTCTCGGTGATGGGGCACCTTCTGTGAAAGGCTTTCCTTGACCATCCATGCTAAAGTGCAGCCCCATTTTAATGTTTTCACAATGACCTGTTCTGTTAACAGTTTTTTAATAACTATATATTTACTTATTTAGCAGTGTTTTGGGTACATAGTAGGCATCCTAACTTTTTAGCTGAATGAATTAATGAGGACAAGTGCTCTAGGCAAGGCTAATCACAGACGTACCCTTCTAGCTGGTATAAGATGCAATAACAAAAATCTTACCTTCTCAACTTTTTTCCTTTTAACAGGAGGGTCAAATCTATCATTGACTCCAAAATACTGTGTAAGCTCCTTCCACTGGGTTTCATTTGAGGACTGTTCACTAAAAGAAGACAGTAAGTTTTGTTTTATACAATATAGACTATCTTTTATTTTTACTGTTTTTAATTGGTTACTACAATTACTAGTTCATATATTCAATTACTATCAGAGACAATTAGTTCAACAATTTCTACAATGGCCTAAAATAATAACTACTTTAAATTCTACCTACCTATGAGATTCTTTCTCATTCTTCAATTTATCTGAAAAGAATTCACAGTGTCAATACCTAACTCCAGCAATTTCAAAATCATATTTTTAAAAAATTGTGGAACTCAGTCACAAGTTAGCATTAGCATGACTAACAACCTGAATTAAAACAAAACACCTTTTCTGGAGCGTTTTCTTTTTTTCCCTCTGAATCTTGAGGTTGTGTTTTTCTGTTCAGAATGTTTTTTATGCAATTCTTGAAATTTCTATGTAAAAGAAAAAAAATATTGAGAAGCAAATAAACGTTCCAGGAAAACATGCATTTAAAAAGTAACACATTAAGTAATAAAACAATTATATTCTGGCATGTATAAAGACACCAATTTAATGATGGTAGTCAGTTCTTGAGATGCTCTGTTCTCTGAGATTCACAACCTGAGTTTTGATACTCACTTGTTTTAAGTCATTTGATAATTTGAGAGTGAAACTCACGCACATAACAAAAAAGATAAATAAAACATAAAATAAAGACAGAAACTCCTCATGCTCCGCACTAGGCAAACAGCTAATCCCATATAGTGGTTTGAGTTTTTTTTTTTCCCTTTTGTCTTTCTATGAAAAACAAAATAAAGTATCTAAGTGGCCAATGCCTCAGAGAATAGCAAAAGCATCCTGAGTCCATCTCCCACCCTGTTAAGTCCCAAGAAAACACACACATTCTGACCAGGGCAGAGATCCACAAAGGGCTGTGTACACACACATACAGGCTTTAGCAAGAGCATTTCAGAGAAAACCTACATTCCACATATCTATGGGAATTCCAGAAGGACACTCTTCATAGGCATTTACATTTGACTCCATTTCAGTTTTTGGTTCATCTGTTGAGAAACCTGTGATTTCTGTTTTACTGATGCTCCCATCCTCTTTATCTTCCTGTAAGTTAAGTCCAGAGTTCTCCAATGTAGCTTCGTCTTCAGAGTTGGACTCAACATCACTTTCATTTAGGCCAGGAGGTAGCAGCCCACTCCACATCTTTTCTTCTATGAGGAAAAAGATTAATTTTTATTAATTATTAGGCTCCTGGAATGTCTTGTAATGGTCTTAAAAGATTAATAATTTTAAGACCATTACAAGACATTCCAGGAGCCTAATAATTACAACAATGGCTTGGGAACAGTCCATCTAAACTTTTCTTTTTTAATCTAAAATGTCATAGGATGGACCTGTTATATTAAAATGATTAAAATCTTCACTTGTGTAAGTAAAAAACAGTTTAGAAGTTTAAAAGCTGTTTAAACAAGTTTGTTACAACATACACCTACAGGTAAAGAAAATAGGACCCTAATTCTCTAATATGAGTAGTTCTGTCTACAAAAAACCATAAAATTCAGTAAAGCATTGCTCAAGAATGTTAAAAGCCTAACAACATACTTTGCAAGCAATTTAAGATTAAAATACCATATTTCAAGCTATTCCAATTAGAGAATAAAGTTGCATGTTTCACCTATATTTAATGCACAAAGCTTTCAGAGGGTGTATTGTCTAAGAAGCAGGAAAATAACTAAAGGAAAAATGTTAAGCTATGTAAGTAGTTTGAGGCAGGTATGGTAATAAAAAGGATATCCTAATTTTCAGTTTAGTAGTGTTTGCTAAAATAATATTAAATGAAATATAATCCTAACAATTTAACAAAAATGTACAGCTTTTTAAAGTCGCAATACTATATTTGGGAAGCTAACGGTAAAGTTCAAGGTAAAATTTAGCAATAGCTATACAGTCCATTGGTAGAGAGAACCATTAAGTTTTAAAAAAATGACTTAAAATAGCAGAACTGTAATCATTTCCTAAAATTATAATACTTGAGTACATATTCACTATTGATCTCCATGGTACAGTCTATTTTAGCACATATACTGAGCCTAAACCAGTTCCTTCAAAAGATGCCTAAATAGAGAAGTCAGCTGTACTGCTCATGATTTACTATCAATCTGAAGTAATGAAATGGAAGGATAGAAATTTGTTTTGCAGTTTTCTGTCCCATATTGTTTAAAAAAAAATTACCATTCTCTCTGAGACAAACGCATTGGGGATTTTGCAGTAACAGATTTCTGTTACCTTTTAAAGACCTCCTCCCAGGTCCAAAGAATCAGATCTTACTTTTTGTGGTTTTGGTCCAGCTCATCAGTTGGGGGGTCTCTGAAATATCCTCACCAAATATTCTGTTGGCTTTTTATGAGGAAGAACTCTGGCATCTAACTGCTCCAACTAGAATCTTGACTCTGCCACTACTAGTGGTATGAGGAAATCATTTAACATCGCTGAACCTCAATTTCTTTATCTGTAACACAAGGATAATTATACTGCTTATAGGGTTACTCTGAGGATTAAATGAGATAAGCCCCTCAACACAGTGTTTAGGAGGTCCTAGGGGCTCAATAAATGTTAAGTTCTCTTTGGTATTATTATTTCCGTGCCCATGTATTACATTTTTATCACTTCTATTATGGGTGACAGGGTTCATAAGATAGTTTTGAAGTTTCTAAAACTTGTGGTGCACTCACTTAGCAACTGATGCAATCATTTGCTTCCTTGATATTCACAGTATGATGTGAAGTATCTATAACAAATGTTAGTGTTTCATTTTCTGAATGGAGCAATAAAATGAGAGGCAAATTACCAGGAAGATAATGGTAACCTTAAGCTCCAAGGTTCTTTATTTGCACAGGTCCTTCCAAAGCACTGTACCTAGTTTCTATTCAGAAATTGCATTTCTTTTTTAAAAGAAGAGACCCGAAGTTACATAAGCTCCAGGCCCCATAAAACCCAGATCTAGCCCTAAACCTGTCTGTGGATTTTTAAAGTTGGAGCAGAAGTACTCTTGAGATATTCTGATACCACAAAAGACATCATGTAAAATATGCCAATATTGAAAAACAGATGTCATGCTATTAATAAAAAAAGATTTCTCCTGTTCTGACAGTAAGGGGAAGAAAGCAGTAATAAGTTACAGTATGACTTGGTCATGGGCATACAGTATACCTTTACGCTCATTATCATTTAAGGACTTAATAAGAAATTTCTTAGCATCACTGGGATCTATATTAGAAATAACTGTTTCCCTTTCTGTCCATAAAATCTTTTACATGCCCACCTGTGTCCCAGACACTCTTCAAGACCATGGGGAAAGAAGTATATAAAACAGGCAAAAATCTCTAGCCTCATGAAATGACATCTGCACACATGGCAAGATTCTGTTGAATTTTTGAGTCAAGTATTCCTTGGCCTGGACTTCAGATGTGACTGCTCATGAAAAGCATATGCCTCTCCAATGGGCAGTGCACAGGTCTTCCACTAAACCACTGTTTTAGCATCTCTGCAGGGTGACAGTCTATGCTCTGGACACCCAAACATGCTTCCCTCTGGGGAGCAGTCTCAGTTGCCCTGAAGAAGGCATGCTTTTTGCTGTTGTTGTTGCTCATCAGCCTTCAAGTGGTTATGCATTTTTATAGCTTTTAAAATTTTCTCAAAATTACATATTTTTAGCTCCTGCTGATGTGGCATTAAAATCTGTCCTCAATATGGCATCTGCCTGGTATCATGATTTCTTGAGTATACCCAAAGGAAAAAGATTAAAATAACTCAAAAAAAAAAAAAAAAATGGAATCCACCAGTAAATCCAGGCAAAATTCAAATCAGGTATGTTTCTGAACTCCACTCTTGAAAATCTTTAAAGTCATGTGCCATTTTCCCACAACTCTCAAAAACAAACAAAAAAAAAAACAAGGAAGACTCAGCAGTCACTGATAAACACGGGTAACTGCTGCCACTCACTGCGGAGCCTGCAAAATGGAGTTGCCTGTGTAAGCAACAGCCCAATTACAGATCAGCCAATATGGAGTGGCTGCTTAGTGACTTTTGCTTTGGACTCATGTTTGAAAACAGTCTTTCTATTCATAGCATATACTTGTCACTCACAAAGTTTCCAACTGGCACCATGTTAGGTATCCTGTAATTCCTGTTTTGGCTGCTGTGGAAGATGATTCTCTATTTCTTTGAAGTGTCTCTTACTCATGCCTTTCAGATTACAGTTCTTTATTTTAAAGCAGATAATCCCAAATTACCCTTTAACTGTGAAAATTCACTCAGCCAGTCTCAGGAGACGTGGAATACCAGAGAAACAGAAACTTAATTTTTTACTATAGATTATAGCCAAGTCCATATAACAGCCAATGTATTAATTCATAAGTTTTCTTTTCTTTTTTTTACCTTGCAACCAAATAATTTTCAATATAATTATTTTAGCCCTAAGGAAAATGTAAGTGACTCAGGATCCTTTGTCTTTCTATGGTTTTGTATATCACCTTCTTCATTTTATACACCCTCTACCTCTAGAGTTAAGATTTATTCGATCCCACAATTATTTTCAAAGACATTCTATGTGTACCATGCAGAACATATCTTTAGTCCTGGGCTGACACAATTTGACATGAACTGAAAATATTTATATACTGTCCTAGTCTGAATAACTAGGTTTTTTTCTTTTTTTTTTTTGCCCTTGAAAATCACCCATTGTCATTATTTAGCATAGTTGGTCAGGTAACAATGAATCGAAAACAGGATACAGTTCAGTAGGTCCTAATCTAAGTAAGAATATAGTAACAGGGGTCTCTAAGCTAATTTCAAAAAGCTCAAACTATTTTATTTTTTCCCTCAGTGAGACAGTACCATTTGCCTTTATGGGAAAAGACAAATTCAGTGAAGCATTATTCTTCACCACATGTTAATCAGAGGTTCACTGGTAGTTATAGGCCTGGTTTTTATCAGAAAAACCATTCATAAATATGGTTTAGTAGACACAATCTTTCAAAATACAGCATCCAGGGAGAAATCAAATTATAATAAAAACTGTTCTAGATTGTGCACTGGTTATAGGGGAAAACGGTCTTCAATGTCGGAAGATGGTTTCTAGTCCTGAACAACATTATTAGGAGAAAGCCACTGCATTTGTCTGGGCCTCCATTCTTAAGCTGCAAAATGAAGGTTTGCTCAAATGATTTCTGAGATGTCTTACAACTGTAAAAATGTCTCTTTATGATTTTGATGTTATAAGTGCCCTAAATGCCCAGCGTCACCTCATTCCTGGATGCCACATTCCATTCTCTCCAGGACTGCAATCCTGATTGGAGCCCAGTATCCCAGTAGGTAAGATTTCTCTCCTTTACCTAGGAACTCAGGCAAGAGGATGTTTTCAGAGAGACGCTACACTTCAGGACACTGAGAAGGGGAAGAAACCCTAGTTACAAATGGAAACACAAGAACCAGAAAGGGGAAACAAAGCAGGTCACTGTTACACATGACATACAAACACTGTGGCAGGCCTTGGTTTACCACTAGTCTTCACAACAACCCTTCCACTGGGAATTCCTATCTATATCCACCCCTCCCCTACTCACCCCGCCCCCAACTTACAGATGGAATAATTCACCTGCCTAATACATTCTGATCCACTTGTTTTACAAAAATAGAGCCCCATGGCTTTAGATTATGAACTTTTAAAGGGCAGAGTTGTAAGTGGGGGCAAGAATTTGAGACTGGGTCTGAGAACGATTTAGCCTACATTTAAAGACTTGTTAAATTTGGTTAAGAAGAATTTTTTTCTATACTTTTTGAGTACAGAAAGCTATGTAAGATGCTATACTAAATTGCATTGCATACATCAAAGTCACAGTCAGAGGTTTGAGCAATAATGTCTATTTTCTGGACAACCAGGCAGTTGCTTTTAACCAAAACCCACAAGATATATTTGAGCAGCTCAATGAGTAAATGTTTTCTGGCTCCTTTCCAGAATTTAAATTCCATTTTCATTGTATAAGGCTGTCTTATTTACCATATTTTGTATTTGATTAGAAATAATCCCAGAAACCTGAACTTGGTCTGATCTAAAATTAATTTCACTTGTATACTAATCATAAGCCATCACAATTATTTAGATTGTTAAATAATTTACATCATAATCAAGTTTCTGTGACTTAAAAATAGTTACTATTTTCAAGTATGCTAACATCAACATTAATGTAAATATCCTATTTACTTTTATGAAATCAATGTTCTCCTTTTCTCAAAAAGGGTACAGAAAGGACAACTGAATCACAGGCCTGAGAGCGAATTTAAGTTGACAATCGGCCTATCCAGAAAAACTACTTATTTAGCAAGATTCTGCATGTATGCAACTGTTTTAATTAAAGAGAGCGGTCGCTTACCTGAGGCCTGGAGAAAATTTCCCCAGACCCAAGATCCTGCATGGAAAGACAATAAACCAAGTTAACAGTTCAAAGCTCATTTTAAGTCGATTCCACCGTTAAAATACTTACAAGGCCCAAGACTGCAAGAGGATGGGTCTAGAAGGTACACCTGTTCCTGCAGGGCTGCACAACCCGGAACTCTGCGGGCTTTCTGGCGGCAATGCCACACTCCAATCCCAGAACAGGCAGAATCCCCTCCCGGGCACAGAACTAAGCGCTGCAGATTCCGAATGATGTCTAGCCTGCTGGCATTCTCATTAACTGGAGCTGTTTTCCGGGATACAGCAACTGTAAACACGAGCCTGTTTCCCCAGTCGAAAGCCTCCTCACTGTCCTCTCACTTTGACCAGGGTGGGATTGAGAAACTCCCTCCCACTAACAGGCTGGGGAGGACGCTGCGACTCCCCTTCCGAGGAAAGCGGAGGGCGGCCCCGCCGTCAATTCCGCAGGCCCGGACCGGGGGCTTTTCTAGCCTACTCCAGGAGGCTTGGCCAAGGAACTATGAGGCCGCCCATGCCTGCTCTCTCGGCTGCCCGCAAGAGGCCCTCCCGAACTCATCACGCCCGAGCCCAAGCAGCCGGGTAACCAGCCCTCCGTAAGCCGTACTCACCTGTCAGGAAGCGGCAGCCCAGGAGCCATCTTAAGACCCCAGTCAACATCGCGCCTTCTCATTGGCTCCTGTGTCTCAGCCAATGGGCTGGGGCCGTTCTGGCCTTAAGGTCGCTAGGGCAACCGGCCTCGCGGGGTTTCCCTTTTTAGTACGCCCGAAGGAGGTAATTCCTTTTTTTCTTCTTTTTTCTCTTTTCTCTTTCTTCGAGCGTTATTTTAAAGACTTTGTTCTTTCTTCATTCCTTGCTGTAGGCGACTGCGTCTAGGCGAGGAAAGGGCTGACACAGACCCCGAACTGAGAGTTGATGCCACCGGGAGGGAGACTCTTGGAGAGTGCTTTCTTTTTAGGCCCTTCTGTAAACGTTTTCATTCATTCATCCTTTCCCCTCCCTCTCTTCCGTTTTATATATATATATATATATATATATATATATATATATATATATATATATATATGTATGTATATATAATTTTTTTTTCTTTCTTTCTTTCTTTCTTCGCCTACTTATTGGGCGCCCACTTTGTGCCAGACACCCTGCCAATCCCTGGTTAGCGGAAAACGGGCAGACTCCTGCTCTCGTGGCGCTTACCATCTGGTGAAGGAGTCCAGGGTGCTTGATCCAACTTTTTTCTTTTTTGTGGCAGACAGTGTGTTATGCCCTGAAGTGGGTGCTTGGGGAGCATAGAAAATAAGGAAAAAAAAAAACAAAACGAGAAAAGTACTGTGAAGAAAATAAAATATCCCGTGTGATAGGGATGGGAATAGGGCTGTTTTAGAAATATTTTCATTTTCTGAAATAGTGTTTTATAATAAGAATAAGATTAAGTGTGCCTATTTGCTAATTTTGTGATGATTGTATAATAAAAGACTGGGCAACAGAGCCAGGCCCTGTTTCAAAAGCAAAAAAAAAAAAAAGAAAAAAAGAAAGAAAATACACTAGGCTTCCCTCATCTGTGGCTTCTCTTAGCATAATTTCAATTACCTGGGGTCAACCCAGGTCCAAACACATTAAGTGGAAAATTCCAGAAATGAACAATTCAGATGTTTAATTGCAAGCCCATTCTGGCTGTCCTGATGGAACCTCCTGCAGTGTGAATCATCGCTTTGTCCTGCATATGTATGTTGTTATGCCACCAGGTTCTTAGTCTCTTAGTAGCCAACTTGGTTATCAGATTGAAAAATTATATATGGAGTTCACCATTATTCCAGGATTCAGGCAGCTATTGGAAGGTATTTCCTGTGGATAAGGAAGGCTACCGTACACATAAAGCCTTTAACATGTTACCTGGCCCACACTAATTTTCAATCTTAGCTTTTTTTTGCTGTTAACATTACCAATAATGTCTTTCTTCAAAGCAGGCTAAACATGTATAAAATTTTGCGTTGCACTCAGTAATATATCTCAGTTTTGCATCAACAGATGGCTAATCCTATTACTTAACTATCCACTACACCATCTCACCTCCAACATCTTCCAGAAGATGCACCAAGTTTAGAGAGCAGTTTTCTATAACCCCAGAATCATAGTAAAACCTGAATCAAGTTTGGATCGATGAGGTCCCTTTTCCTGTTCACAGTCTGTGAGTCTAAAGTAGAAGCAAGGCTGAATGAGTTAAGGATCTGTATAAATCTCTTTTGGCCAAATCTCTTCAGCTTCTCAATAGGATTTTCCTTGAATCCAAATCTTTAAAAAGTTAAACGGTTAACAGAAAGGTGTGCCTGGGAGTGCTGTTATAACTGCATTAGGCCTCTTAATTGTTCTTCACCTACTCAGGCTGTTATAGCAAAATACTACAGACAGGGTAGCTTAGGCAACAGGAGTTTATTTCTCACAATTCTAGATGCTGGAAAGTCTAAGATCAAGATGCCAGCAAAGTCGGTTTCATTTTGAGGCCTCTTCTCTTGCCTGGTAGGCAGCCACCCGTGCCTTATTGTGCTCCCATCACCTCTTCTTTGTGTGCACAGTTGGGGAAGCTCTCCCTTGTCTCCTCTCTGTATTTAAAAGGACACTAATCCTGTTGGATCAGGGTTCTACCATTCTGACCTTATTTAACCTTAATTACTGCCTTAGAGGCCACATCTCCAAATACAGCCACACCGTGGGTTATGGCGTCAAGATAGGAATTTTAGGGGTGCACAAACATTCAGTTCATAACAATTGCTGATGATGGAAATGTGACCAGAATGGGAAAAGAGATAGCAGAGGGGGAAGAACTGAGGCATGGGGTAGGAAGGAATTAATTTTTGCATGTTTAAGATGATCTGGGGCCAGGCACAGTGGCTCACACATTTAATCTCAGCAGTTTGGGAGGCCGAGGAGGGCAGATCACTTGAGGTCAAGAGTTCAGGACCAGCCTGGCCAACATGGTGAAACACCATCTCTAGTAAAAATGCAAAACTTATATTTTGTATAACTATAAGTTTTGGGGCGTGATGGCACACGCCAGTAATCCCAGCTACTCAGTTGGCTGAGGCACGAGAAAGCTTGAACCTGGGAGGCAGAGGTTGCAGTGAGCTGAGATTGCGCCACTGCATTCCAACCTAGACGATAGGAGCAAAACTCCATCTCAAAAAAAAAAAAAAAAAAAAAAAAAAAAAAGATCTGGATTGTTTCTATATATAGCCCATTAAAGGATGCTCACTATTTAGTGCATATATTAATAAATGTAAAGTATAGAGGTGGCATATAATTATAACTACTACAAAGATTTACAAACACCAGATTTCATAGCAAAGGTTTTTGGAAAATCCTACTTCAAAAATATCTAACATTTTAAAATTAAGTTTCTCAATGCTGATTTGAGAATTCTTAACTACCTAATTGTTTATCATATTACTGGATGCCTATAATAAATGTAAATAATAGCTCAGACTTTTCTTCTCTGGTTGTAAGACCTTCAGTTTCTGATTATTGTTTTGCCAGTTTTCTAGGGAAAATGTCAGTCCTTTGATTTATGGTAATCAATAAATTTACCTTCCTTCCAGCAAATTCCTGCCCTGGAAGCCTGCCAAGCCATGCATTTTGTGAATGAAATACTTGTATTTGTGAAATTTCTATGAAACGTAGAATTGTTGGATACCTTTTACTAAATCATAGTGAAATATCTGATGCAGCTAGCGAATTGTGCTTGAATTGTGTTGCATCTGGCACTAATTTCAAGCATGTAGCTTTCATTTAAATTCTCAACCATATCTTTAAAAACACAAAGCAGTTTTTCTTTGCCAAGAAATATTATGGTCTATGAACAGTTTTCCCTTACATTTAATAATTTTTTTAGTGTAGAGATTATAAGTCACACCCATGTTATAAAAGATTAATTGTGGAGTCCTTTTTGGTGGCTGCTAAATCTCTGATTGATGAATAATTTCTCAAAATATGATGAAATCCCTTAAATGTTTTTCAGTTGGAAAAGTGAATACAACTTTGTTGAACATATAATAAATGTACTTCTTGGTGAAACTGAGAAAGAGAATATTAATTTCCTTCTATACAAACACTTCTTTTTTGGCATTGAGGGAAGAAAGGTGATTTAGTGACTTAAGCAAAAGAATTGAAACCAGGGAGCTCTGAATTTCGGAACTTGTGTTGATGTTCTTCATGATTAAGGAATGACAATTTCTCTATCTGGATTTTTTTTTTTTAGGTGTGCAAACTGAAGCATCTATAAACAATGTTAGTCTTCCAAGCATATGTCGAATAACTGACACTACAATATCAACAGGACTTGACATTTGAGAAAACAAAATTTTTGCGATATAGGATATTGCCAAAGAAAAGCACTTCTTATTTATTGGTCATGGCTAGTACTTCCAGATTTTTCAGGTCTAATAGGTTGTACATAGGGAGAAAGCAGAATAAGGAAGGGAGGCTTATTGAGCGTTTTTGTATGCTAGGCAATTTATATCTAATATCTTATGAGGTAGCTGGTATTGTATCCATTTTATAGCTAAGGAAATTTAAAATTTCAAGAGCTTAAGAAACTTGCCTAGGCCGGGCACGATGGCTCACGCCTATAATCCCAGCATTTTGGGAGGCCAAGGCGGGTGGATCACAAGGTCAGGAGATCCTGACCAACATGGTGAAACCCCGTCTCTACTAAAAATACAAAAATTAGCTGGGCGCAGTGGCAGGTGCCTGTAATCCTAGCTACTCGGGAGGCTGAGTCAGGAGAATAGCTTGAATCAGGGAGTCGGAGGTTGTGGTGAGCCAAGATCATACCATTACACTCCAGCCTGGCAACAGAGTGGGACTCTGTCTCAAAAAAAAAAAAAGGGAAAAGAAACTTGCCTAATATCACATGCTTAGTAACATGCAGAATCAGGGTGGAGAAGTTTCACTGGACTCAAAAGATCCTGCTGTCTCAACTGTCACATTGCCTCTTTTAAGAAGAGTTTCCTGATAAATGCCAGCACAATGCAATCAATAAAGCATGGATATCATTACTAGCCAGTGGCATGATATACCCACTGGGTACTCATAAAAAGAGAGGTTTCAAGAGCAAAATGTCTTCTCTCTCTCCTTCCCCCTCACAACCTAGTGAGTGATCAGATTCCATCTGAGGAATCCTCTTCAATCTTTCCTGATTCATTATATTGAAGTCTATGTTAATCTGCTTTTCCTAATACCTTCATCTTCCAAAAACATCCCACTGTCTGATAAATTTCTCTGAATGAAGAAATGCATGTAAAGCTTTAACGTAAAGCCTGGTATGTAGTCAGTGGCCAACAGGTATTAGCTTCTTTCCTTTACTTGTAAAAACTAAGAAACCCATAAATGTTCATAGAGTATTAGATTCATCTGTCAATATCTTCATGATCCTTACTGTGTGCCCAATGCTCAGCACTATGCTAGGGGTTGAAGATTCAAAAGAAGAACTGTATAGAGACTGGCCTCAAGAAGTTTATAGTCTGAGACATAATAATGTTTAAACCGTAAGTACTAAAATTGTGAGGTTCATAATGTAAGTATGAACTACAGAAGTCCTAAGAATGGAAAAGTAAGCTAGGTGGAGTTTAGTATATACTATTTCCTTTGCCTTAAATACCTGTTAAGTATCTTTTCATCCTTCGAAATCCAGAGCAAATATTACCTCCCAAGTTAAATCTTTCCTGGGTCTTGCAGTTCACACCTTTCTTCTCCATGCTTTCATGATAGTCAGTACG